AAACTAGATTTCTGATGCGACATCAATGGTGAATGTCTTGAAGGCATGTTCCTGTTAAGTTGCTCGAATTGGCGCAAATCTTGATGATGGCTGGTTTGTAACCCATGTGCATTTGCATGTGTATATATATACACATATCTATATCTATACAATTTCCATCCATTTGCATATATTTCTATATTTATAGATATCATAGACGTTTGCTCCTTATAACAAACACACAACTATTTTACCTAATGTCAACCCTGGATCTGTTTAACTTGGGGGATACCAATTATATAAGTATCATATGATCACATGTTGGGTACCTCCAGAATTCACCATTTATGAATCCGGGGTTGACATTTTCTAGGCTTCATCATGGTTTTTCATAGGTTTAGGATCAGTTAATCGCATGCCTCCCGTCCACTCTGAACCACTCCCTCTCGTCCTGCTGGAACTCAGCACTGGAACTGGCAGCCTTCAAGGCTTGAAGTCGCTTGAAGTCGCCGTTCACCTCGTAACCTGATGCAGTTTGATATATTTTGTCGGTACCGCATGGTCCGATGTTATGGAGATATACTATGTGGGTATATATATATATACATATACATATTAATATATATATATAAGCATATGTACATTTAGAATCATATACATCTATAATGGGAAACACATATATATATATTATATATATATATAACTTACATGTTCCGTACCAATATGGTTCATTTGTTTTTTCGTACAATCAGGATATGAACTATTTCATAGTGATATATTGTGATACAGTATAATATATATATATATATAACCAAAGGCCATGATATTTGAGAAGTGTCCAAAAAATAGCACAGACTCCAACTTTGCACTCGGATGGAAAAAAAACCGGGTACAGACGATCCCATAAGGGTAACCAGTGAAACCACAAGTTGGTCGGCGAAGCCAATCCACTAGGGATGCAATTGCCAAGAATTACCCTCTGGTAATTTAACATAGCCATTTATAGTGGATTTTCCCATAAAAAAATGTGGCTATGTTAGTTTACCAGAGGGTATGATATAACTTGTGACATCATTTGACATAACATCACAAAACCTACCAAAGCTGGAAAAACACAAACCACTTGGGGGTGAAATTCCAAGTTGAAGTGAACATGGCAGCCATAATTAGCCATACAAACATACCGGGGTATAGCCGTATAGCTCAACTTTTGGAGCTTCAAATCCCATAGTTGCAGCCGGTACTAACCCAGTTGCACCCGCATGTCACTTGGCGTTCTAATCCCGTGGAGTGCAGACTGTGGATCGAAACTAAGGATGGGCAGTGGAATCATAGGCAGGGCATCTAACAAAAAGATCCAGTTATGGGGATCTTTTTGCCATCTAGTTGTAGATCCAGTTATATATCCAGTTATAAAGGTCCAATGATTGCCATGTTTTGCAAGTCAGGGGGGGTTCCATCCTTCCAGCCAATTAAATCTGAACGTTGGGAACCCTGGTGTCCATAGCCCTGTATGTGACGATTCCCATGAGAAAATGTGTAGCCACCAACCTATCCCATGTTTTACAAGTTTCGACGACCAGAAACCAGTTCCAACATCAGGTCACCTATGTAGCTTAACAGTTGCAACATCAGAAACCAGTTGCCAATTGCCATCATGAAATTCGCACATGAAAAGGTGTTTCGATTCGAAGTGGCTAAACTAATAATACATCTCACCAAGTCGCCAATTTCATCTTTGAATATGTTTAATCACCAAGTTGATGAATAATCACCAATACCAGTTTGATATTTGTTTCACCAATACCGTGTGGTAAACTAGCATAGCTATGGAAAATCACCATGTTATATAGATAAACCGACTAAATCAGCCGTCTTCCAGTTCGCAAGCTGTTAGTTTACCAGAGGCTACCCGGCTACAAAAAAGGCAGCGAAGCCACTGTGACACCCGCCGTGCAACCCAGGGACTCAAATCATCCAAGGTAACATCTACCCGGTCCATCAGATCCAGGTTGGCTGCCGCCCGGCGCCTCACCGAAATAGAGCATCTATCGAGCAAGAATGGGTTTGGACCAAAAATTATGGGGATATGATAGGGATATATATATATATACATACACACATTATATGTATCTGTTTTTTATTTGTTTATCAATATTTTCGCTTCAAATATGTTTACTGTATATATGTAATGTATTTTGTAATAAATGATAATATAGTATAATATATGCTAACTCGGGTCATCTTGGGTCTCAACTTTGGTGAATCCAATCTTCAAACTCACTAGATTATCCCCAACAAAACACCCTCGCGTTGCATCAGGGTTCTTTGGGACGCCCTTCGTTTTGACCCCTGCCATCTGACACTTGGCTATGCGCCAAGTATCTGGAGTACCCATGAGAGCCCATGTCTTTCTCTTGATCTCTTGGTCGTTTTGAGTATTTAGCCCACAAAAACAAACGTAAAAAGACATCTGTTTTTAGGTGGTTTATATAACACCCTTCATTGGTTTGGGGGTCCACGAATTTTGACCGCAAATTTGGAGAATCCCCATGTCTGAGAGGAAATGCATCCCATACTCGTACCCACTACCTATCATTTACACCCCTTCGGAAAGGCTAATAGAAGTTGATGATCTCTTTACAAGGCCTTTATTTGTGTGGGAAGGTAAGGTTTCAATCTATTGTGTTTTTTTTTCTATCATAATTTAACAAGAGTGGGCACCAGATTAAAACTGACATGTACTCAAAAATTATAGGACACATCCAACAACAACAGGCCCACGTTTTGAGTTTTTGGGTAATCCCAGCCCATCCGCCAGGCGACACAAACTCCGTGAAGGAGCCCTGCATCTCTTGGCGGTACTTGCCACTGAGCATGTGATAGAAATAGAGCGAGTTCCTGCGCGCAGTTTGGGGCGAAACAAAGCCTGTAGAAATGGTCTTCGTTGGCAGTTTTTGATGTTTAAGCCACTAAATAAGTGGGATACCTCGCCAGGGTAGAAGTTAGAAGTTATCTGGTTGGTGGTTGACCTACCCCTCTGAAAACTATCAGTCAGTTGCTGTTATTATACCAAATATATGGAAACATAAAAGCCATGTTCCAAACCACCAACCAGTTATAAGTGGCATTCACTGTATGTCATGGTGAGGCATCCGCAGGGCATCTGCGATGGGTGAGATGTGCCCCGAAAACGCACCATGTTCCATACATGGAGCATTTGGGGGTATGAAAAATGATTCGGAACATCACAGAAATGACCAAACATAGGGAAGTATGCAATTTTCCAAGAAACATATATATATATATATATACATACATACATAAACTTGTGTGGATCATCTATAATCATCTGATATGTTGTTTATCATTTGAGGCCTAGATAGAGATGTTTGACCATCATGGGGATGACCATTCAGCGACTGGGGATTTTTCACCGACTTTGGGATTTCACCAGGTACTGTTGCTGATTCAACCACAGAATAAGTACAATTATAGCTAAAGAACATATATGAACATATATATATATATAATATATGTTCATATGTTTTTTTCCGCTAAAAATGGTACTTCTAGTTTCTGTTTCTATATGTGTCCATTGTTTTCCCTTTTTGTTTCGCATGGTTCAACCTAGCCACACCGGCTGTCACCTTCCGCTGTCACGTCCTGGAGGATGCCCCAATCCGAACGCCGAAATGCAATGCAGGCGACTCCCCGAAGAGCTGAGCTTTCATGGGCCAGATGGAAATATCCTGTGGACCGTGGAAACAAACGGTGACTTCGCGAGGCCGCGAAAGCTGGTGGTTTTTTGTCGGATGTCAGGCAAGGTGCAAGTTGCGAAAAACGTGACTCTTGGCCAGTTTAGCATGTGGAACTATAGATATAAAAAACACATGGAATTATAGAACTATTATAGAAATAATAATATAAATAAATACTTAACTATATATAAAAGAATAATCAATGAATCACCAGAATAATTATCAGAGAACTCCATCTCGAGGATTTGACTCCTCTTTACCAGCCACATTGGACAAGCAATAGAATCCTCTTATTTATAGTGGGGAAATTCCATATTCATAAACAATATATTTATAACAATATAATGGTGGTAAATATTTCTAATTGTTAATATATGCATATATAAAACTAACTTATATAACTGGGGGTACAAGCCATGTACTAAGTGGGATGCAGCCCCAAGTAGACATAACATGCAAAAAAACATCATAATAATAGTCATCATCACCATAATCAGAAACAAACATAGCACCAGCATCATCATCTAGTTCTCCTCAGTGATTTCTTCCGTGATTTTGGTCCTGAATCCACCGGAAGTTCCCCCTGTTTCGATGGCTGCTTCCCCCGCTTCTAGAAGGTGCTGCCGTTGGTTTTTTGTGATCATGAAATAGCTTTATATGTTGTTAGATGGGCAATGAACCATCAAACAAAACTAGTCAGTGGGCACTACACCACCTTGTAAGCATTATAAGCACAGAGAAGTCGGCCCAGAGTAAAATCATCAGATGGCAATTTTCCAATCAACCACCTTCATGGAAAAATATCTGCGTCACCGCACTGGAATACCATTTAACATCATTTTTCGATGAAGGGTGGTCGACTCCTCTAATCAACCAATGGGGAAGGACATCAATAATTGGAGCCCCCAAGAATAGTAGAGTCATGTATGTTTAACAATAGTGTGTATATATAATTATACATTAACACATATGCAAATCCATGATATGACCAATGATCAAACCAATTTCACATGTCACACACCTCCAATTCTGTGTGGTTCAGATTCGATGTCGATTTCAATGTGTCCACATATTTCCACATGGCCTTAAAATATTCATAAATTCCGAGTAGATTTCAATTCTGTGATGATTGAAATCAGATTTTTCATTAATGATCGTTCAAGTTATTTAAAATGTTGCGTGAATACCATTCGACATCATCAAAAGTATACATGCTTGCCAAACAATCATTGAACACCATTCAAATCCCCATAAACCCCCATGAAATCACCATTTTCCATATACGATGAGGCCCCCAGTCGATAGCGCTCAGTTTTTGGAAAAAAATGGCTGAATTCTATGGTTTATGGTAGATATATCAACCATATATCATGATATCAACCCCATGAATATCTACGACAAAACCATGATGCCAGGTTTATAGTGTCTGGGGGCCGCCATCCTGTAGCTATTGAACAATGGCCATTTATAGTTAAGATATACCATTAAATACCCATGAAAAATTGTATTTTCCCGGAATCGCCATGATTTTCCGCATCAGGTCACAGATGGCGTCAGCAGTTGCTCGGGCGCCAGGCCAATTTGGCTGTAGTTGCCTCCAGCGCCGCGTCGGAGGCGCGTCAGGTGCCCAGGGGATAGGGCCTAACATTCTATGCACAATGGTGGTTTTACCTATGAAAAATGAGGATTCAATGATTTAATGGGATTTAATGGGATTTAATGGGATTTAATGGGATTTAATGGGATTTAATGGGATTTAATGGGATTTAATGGGATTTAATGGGATTTAGTGATAATTTCATGGCGATTTTTCATGGTGATTTACTGGGATTATTCATGGTGATGTGGAAAATCCAAAGACATTTTTCACCACTGGGATTTCATGGGAATGACGATTTACCCTGGGGTGAACATAGAAAGAAAGATGTGGGAAATCCATGGTTTCCTGGGAATGCGGAAGAAGTGATACCCTAGGGTCAACGTTTAGATGCGGAAAACCTATGGTGTCACTAAGAAAAATATCCAAGATTTATGGTGGGTTTTCTACATGTCAATTTGCAGGAGTGTGTATATATATATAACAATATGTATTCGGTGGAAACATAGCCAGAGAGATTGCATATTTATTTTGATTTATCACTTATTTCAAACTACTTATCGACACTTATCGGTACTAATCTACATATATATGTGTACTTGTTGGTGGTTTCAACCCCTCTGAAAAATATGAAAGGCAGTTGGGGTTACTATTCCCAATAGATGGACAAATAAAACATGTTACAAATCACCAACCAGTATCTATATATATATGTTGATTTGAGTAGATCCACGTGAGCTCTTGCATGCGCCATCCGAACATTCCTTTCTCGCAGGGACTCTTTTGCCTCGAAGGGAAAAGGCGCCCGATTGAGACGGCATTGGAATGCCGCTTGGTGTTTGGGCCTGCGACCAGTTTCAATACTGGTAGCGGAGCCACCAACACGGTGGCTCCCCTGGAATAGGAGTTCCAGGAGGCGTGTAGATCCACGTGAGCTATGGCCGGTGCCGAGTCCTCTGGTGAGACAACTGTTAGCAAAGTATTCACTGGGGATAGTGAAGATGCGTTGGAATACAAGCGTTGGAAAACCTGGGTGTTGAACAAGTTATTGACTTTGGATTCAAAGGTTCCTGAGAAAGCCCGAGGTGCTTATGTGTATACTCTTCTAGGTGGCCGAGCACTTGACTGCATTGAGCACTTAGAAACATCTGAGTACCAGGTTGCAGGTGGTGAAAAGGTGATTCTGGACATCTTAGATCAACGTTTTCCCCAGAAGGACAAGTCCGACGAGATGTCTGAGACTCTCACATCAGTTTTTGGTCTTCGAGCTGCTGAGGGTGAAACCCTGAAAGTCTGGATTTCTCGTGCTGGCGAACTTTTTGAGAGATGTCAGAGAAAGTGCAAGGTCAATTTTCCAGATGAGGCCAGAGGATGGTTGATCCTCAACCGTTCCGGATTGTCAGATGAACAACGGGCTGTCATTTTGGCCCGCAGTGGAGGTAGTCTCAAGCGTGATGAGATTGGCCGAGCAATGCGGTCATGTTATCCCGAGTTCATCGTTCCCAAACGCAAGTCTTTTGGAATCAATCTGGTAGAGAACAGCTCTGAAGTTGTTCCTGAGGACGACGAAGCTGATAGTGTGATCCAGGAAGTGGAGACCTTTTTGGCTGACCATGCCTTGAATGAGCCTGATGATGATCCGCAAGAAGTCTACGAAGAGTCAGAAATCGCAGAAGCACTGGCCGTGTCCTGGAAGGACAAAAGACGTGAGCTGGGTCGGCTCCAGCGCTCGCGTCGTTTTGGCGCAGCAAGTGAGTTGAAGAAGTCCTACAAGGTGGAGATTGAAGAACTGAAACGTAAGTCTCGATGCCATCGTTGCAATCAAGTGGGACACTGGTCCCGTGAGTGTCGCAATCCTAGCAAAGGCAAGGGCAAAGGTGGAAGTTCCAACAACTCAAAGAGCTCTGATGCTGGAGTGGCCATGGTAGAATCCTTTGAGGAGCACTTTGTGGCCGCAGTTGTCCCTCTCTGCAACCCTCAGCTGTCAACTTTGGAGATGTTACGACAGCGTCATGCATCTTCCATCAATGCTGAGGTGATCAAGGAGTCCAATCACTGTGATTCCCATGAAGTCATGCTGGTGAGCTCACCGGGTTTCGGTGTCATTGATTCTGGATGTGGACGTACCATTATTGGTAGAGACACGTTGAAGGAATTTGAATCACTCTGGAAGAAGCACTCTCTCCCAGTTCCCTCACCTTTCTCTGAGGTGAATCATTTCAAATTTGGACATGGACAGCGCGAGACCACTGAGTGGTCGGTTCGGTTGCCAGTGATCATTGCTGGTCGCTCTGGCAGCATCAAAGCTGCTGTGGTGAAGGGAGCTGCTCCCCTGCTGATTTCCAGAAGTGCCCTGCAGACCTTGCAGGCTGTGATTGATTTTGGCAAGAACGAGTTGACTCTGTTCAATGATAGTGTCACAGTGCCTCTCACCACGAATGCTGCTGGACAGTACATCATCAATGTGATTGACAAGATGACTGAGTCCAAGGCCGTTTTTGCCGAGGTCATGATGAATGAAGATGCTGAGGTGACTGAGAATGTCCAGGTCTTGCCGGTCAATGAATCTGTCGAGGCTGAGCAGTCGCCTGATTTGCCCACAGCCACGGCATCCGTGCCCAAGCTTTCCCAAGGAGCATCCGACAACTTGCAGGTTTGGACTAGGCATGATTCATTTATTAATAAGACTCTCACTACGGGTAAGCATGGTCCCAATTGGCAGTCCGTCAAACGTAGAAGGGTTGTAGACAGTGCCACCCAAGAAGTCTTGTTTGATGAATGGATATCGCCTCACCGTCGCAAAAGCCAGTATCATCATGACATTCCTAAGGAAGTGCTGCATGTGACCACCGAGTTTCATTTTGTGCCTCAGGAGAAAACAGTCCCAATTGAGAGTTTGCCAGTTCACAGTGTGAGACAATTAGACTCTCAGGTGCGAAATGCTGCATCCGAAGTCAAGTCCATTGTCGATGGTAAGCCCTTTTTGGTCGCAGAAGTGCTTTGTCCTCCAAGATGTGCACCCCTTGTTCAGGGAGTAGGTGGTACGTGTAGGTCTTTTGACTTATCCACTGGATTTGACTTCACCAAACCTGAGATGCGTGAACGGGTGGCTCAGTACTTGCATGATCACCCACCTGAGCTCCTGTTGCTTTGCCCACCATGCACTGATGAGGGCGGATGGTTCAACTTGAATGCGTGCACTATGGATCCCCTAGAGTATGCTAAGAGAGTTCGTCGTAGTCGCATGTTCATCCGTTTTTGTTGTAGGCTGTACAAACAGCAGGTGCAGCTCGGTGGAAGAGCAATCCTTGAGCATCCCAAGGGATCCCGTCTATGGACCTATCCCGAGGTCAATGAGTTGCTTGAAGAGCACAAGTTGCTGACATGTCACATGTGCAGATATGGTTTGCGTGTCCCGGGTAGCCCCAATCTGATCCGTAAAGCCACTCACTTGCTAGTATCCCATCATGACATGAGTTGCTTAGCCAAAGAGTGTCCAGGTTCCAGTCACCCGAAACATGCTTGTCACCAGGTCATTGCCGGAAGTGATCCCATGGTAGGACGTGTTAGCACTTTTGCTGGAAAGTATACTCCTCAGTTTGTAGAAGCAATCATGGAAACAGTGCCTCGTTTTGTTGCCATGAAACGTGCATGCCTGGCTGAGTGTCCTCAGTGGACATCCAAACAGCACGACGAAGTTCTTGCTGCTAAGCCTGACCTCTCTGCTGAGAAATCTGATGCCGAGTTGTTGAAAGTGATCGATCGTGTACATAGAAATTTGGGGCACCCTCCAGTTCATGACATGGTTCGTATCTTGAAACATGCTCAGGCGTCAGAGCGTGCCGTGAAACTGGCGCATCAGCACAAGTGCAGCTTTTGTCAAACCCAGGTCAAGCCTCATGTGCCATTGCCAGCAAAGTCATCCCGGCCTCGTGAGTTCAATCAAACCATTGGAGTGGATGTGAAGTATCTCACTGGGTGGAAGCCTAATCAAAAGATAAAGGCAGTGAATATTGTAGACCAAGCGAGTTGCTACCAACTCATGATTCCTTTCTTCGAACGTGAGACCTCAGAGATCATCCGCCGTAATGTTGCTGAACATTGGGTCAGAGTGTTTGGTCCCCCAAAAGAAGTGATTCTTGATCAAGCTCAAACTAATTTGGGAGAAGGTCTTCAGGGATATTTGGAATCTCTTGGCAGCCATGTTCACCAGATAGCCGGGGAAGCGCATTGGCAACTAGGCCGTACCGAAAGTCACGGGGGATGGTTTGGTAGGATTTTGGATCGCACGTTAGCAGAGTTTTCTCCAGCTACCAAAGAATCCTGGGAAGATTGTGTTTTGCACTCACATGTGAAGAATACCATGATCCAATCCTATGGTTACACCCCCCATCAATATGTTTTCGGTCGCAATCCCGATGTTCCCACAGACCTGATGAGCGAACCACTGCATGTTGTGCCAGCCACTCTCGGTCTCACTGAAGAGGCCATCGCCAAGTCTCAAGCAATTCGTGCAGCTGCCAGAAAAGCGGTCATCGAGACTCAAGATGACAGAGCCTTGCGTCTAGCCTTTTCCGCAAGACCCCGCTTACAGCAGCAATTCGTAGCTGGTGATCTGGTTGCCTACCGGCGTGTACAGAAATATCAGCAAGGCCAGGTTCATATCGGAGGTCGTTGGTATGGAACAGCTGTTGTAATTGGAAGTGTTGGCAAAAACTATGTCATTGCTCATCGTCGGCAGATTTTCAGAGTGGCTCCTGAACAATTGCGTCCTGCTACAACTGAAGAAAAGGCCATTGTCGAGACCCCACAAACTGAGCTTCTGGGAGTGAAGGACATGTTGGAAGGAGGCACTTTCCGAAGTCATCAGTACATTGATTTAGTACCTGGACATTACCCACCGATGTCACCTGGCCCTGATGATCAGAGTCATCCGCAGCAGTCAGAAGCCGTTGATGGGTCCAGTCAGTCAGTTGAGGAAAGTGCTGATGCCGAACCACCAATTGATAAATCTCCCATGGATGCTTCCTCACATGTGCATGATGTTGATCCGCCTCAACCAGCAGTTTAGAACGTGTCCTCGTCAAGTGAGCCTTCAGATCAACAGATGTCACCTGAATCTGAGTCTTCCTCAACGTATGGTCCAATGCGTAGGGTTCACGGTAAGAATGGTCCTCCTGCTCTGTATCGACCACCAGCTATGAAGACCATGCCACCAATCCGTCGAGCCAGTCTGCCGGATCATCCAAACGTTCTTTGGAGATCGCTGCGAATATCGATGAGCCCCCAGGCTCGAAACAACGAACAGCCTCTCCTCATGAAGTTTTGTCTGTTGAGGACATCACCGAGCTGTGCAATCAGTGGGAAGATCCTAAGACTTCAATCGAAGTGCTGTTGACCAACTACTTGCAGAAGAAGTCAAGCAAAGAAATGAGTCCATGTAATCATCCCCCTGAAGTACAAGCCATGGTAGATGACTCTAAGGTTTTGGAATGGAGCACTATCATAGACAAACAAGCTGTCAAGATCCACTATGGAAAGCGTGCTGCTCAAATCCGTGAGCGATATGCCGATCGCTTCATAGGTAGCCGTTTTGTCATCACTAAGAAACCTATGGAAGAAAACCAACCAATCAATGATGAGGACAGTTCCACTTTCAGGGTCAAGAGCCGCTGGTGTCTTCAAGGACATTTGGATCCCGATCTAGATAAGAAGGTTCAAGATGGACTGCTACAGTCCCCCACTCTTAGCCAGATGGGTAGGATGTTGGTGATGCAGATCATTTCTTCGTTTGGATGGGTCTTACAACTTGGAGATATAAAAGGAGCTTTTCTTGAAGCTGGTCCTCTCCCTGATAAGTTTCGTCCTTTGTTTGCCAAGCAGCCTGCTGGAGGAATTCCCGGCGTGCCAAGTGACGCCGTTTTGGAAGTCACAGGCAATGTTTATGGTCAGAACGATGCACCTTTGGCTTGGCATCGAACGTTTGACGATGAATCTTTGCGTATTGGTTGGGAACGCTCAAAGTTTGACAGTTGTCTTTACTTTCTTCGAGATGGTTCTAAGTTGGTTGGAATCATGGGAGTTCATGTTGATGACACAGCCCTTGGTGGAAGCGGTCCAAAGTTTGAACGTGCAGTAGCTGAGCTGCGCTCCAGGTTTCCATACAGAAAGTGGCGAAAGGCCGAGGGAGAATTCTGTGGTGCGTACTACACACAGAACAAGGAGACAAAAGAAATTGCAATGTCACAGAAGTTGTTTGTTGACAAACTCCGGCCAGCAGCCATTCCTCGTCATGCGTTGCCTGACGATGACCTGTCAGAAGCCCAGATCAGAGTTCTCCGCGCGATCAATGGATCCTTGAATTGGCTGGCTTCGCAGTCACGACCTGACCTGGCAGTGCAGACTAGTCTAAGTCAACAAGCATTTCCAAAGCCAAAGATTCGCCATTTGCGTGATGCCAATAATGCCATCAGAAGAGCCAAAATGCACAAAGACTTGGTTATAACCTTTAAGCCCATTCCACCTGAACGAATATGTGTCTGTTGTCACTCCGATGCCGCGTTTGCCAATGTAGGGACTCATACACAGGCAGGTTTTGTTCTGGCGTTTGTAGACAAGTCTATGCATGATGGTCACGTGTCCCCATGGACACCTGTGTCATGGAAGTCTTACCGGCTGCCTCGAGCCGTGAGCTCTACTTTGAGTGGTGAGAGCCAGGCACTTGCGTCTGCCTCTGGAACCGTCGAGTGGTTGAATCTACTTTTAATCGAAGCACTAGACGGTAGTTTTGCATCAAGTGAATGTCGCCAGCTGCTGTCCCGGCGTCCAGCCATTTTGGCCACCGACTGCAAATCTCTTTTTGACCATTTGATCTCTCCATCATCACCCACTGCAGTAGATGATCGTAGAACCAGTATCGACATAGTTATCATTCGGGAATCCATCAAGTTACTTGCAGCTCGAGTACGATGGTTGCCAACCAATAGAATGATAGCAGATGGATTGACCAAAGACAAGGTGGACCCGGCTGACCTTTTAAGGTCTTGTGTACGTGCTGCCTCCTATCAAATATCCTCGGAGGATCACGTGCTTGCACAGCAGGCGTCCGAACGAGAACGCCGTGCCAAGATCCGAGCGCAAAATGTCCAAAGCAAGGCCGAGACGTCTGGGGGTAACTGACTTCTCATGAAATAAGCAATATGCTTAAATGGCCTTAATTCAGTTTCTTTAACATAGGCTAACATAATCTGAAGCATGGCACTCCTAACCTAGTGAGTGTCGTAGGGTTAAAATCTTCAGAGTGCTTGCCTTTGTTGCGTTTGCGTGCCGCCACACTTGTAGTCCATGTTGTGATGCTAGTGTGAACCATCCCATCTTGATAGTGTCAGCAATCCATCTCCACAGGCTGCGTATGTCATTTTATTTCCATCAAAATAGCTGAGCCGGTTTGTCATGTTTATGGTGTTTGTAGTGTATGACCTTGTGCTGCCGGCAGCAATCCTTTTCCCAAATCCATAAAGATCTCAGTGATCTTGTTTTGCCTTTTAGTTTAGTTTCCTTGAGTGTGATCGCAATGCCTCTCACACAAGAAGAGACTTTGGAGCGCGTTTGATGGCGAAAGCGAAGTCCATGCCCAGCCCTCCGCCGGAGGTGGAGGAGGAGTTCACAGTGTATGATCCCACGACTGGTCTTTTCGTGCACCCTGAAACTGGTGAGGTTCACAGTGTATGGAGTGAAGATGAGTCTTCGGCACCTGGAGCCATGACCGACGGATCCAAGCGCCGAGAGGAGATGATTGCCGGCCAACGGCCTTCCAAGAAGTCAGCTGTGCCGAAAGCCAAGTCTCAGGCAATGATGCCGAGCCTGATGGTTCCGATGTACGCCGCTCCTTCGACTGAGGTGGCCGTGCCCTTTCCCGGAGCATCAGATGAAGCTGGTTTGATCAAGCATTGTCTTCCTCCTTTGCCTGATGACGTTCCTGATGTGCCCACATGGGGTCGCACAGTGATTGGTTTTGGCCACTACAAAGACTTGAACATGAGCTATGAAGAGCTGGTGATGTCCGAAGATTCCCGCATGGCAAGCTATGTGAAGTGGTGCCGTTCCCGCACCAAGTGCGCCCAGGGTCAGTTGAAAGACCTATGCAACTACATGCAGCACATGTTTGCCTCTGATGAAGGCACCGGACACCAGATTCCTGGAACCACTCAGCCGCGCCGTCTGAAGCAATAGATGATTTCCTCTCATGAGATTACATCTCATTTTCTCCTGCCTGAGAGATCAGTTTTGTGCAAAGATCAGCATAAAGATGAAGCCGTTGGGAATACGTGCTTTCAATGTTTCAACCTGGAGAATTTTTGTGATTTTTGAAAAGAGAAATATAACCAGTGTTGATTTGAGTAGATCCACGTGAGCTCTTGCATGCGCCATCCGAACATTCCTTTCTCGCAGGGACTCTTTTGCCTCGAAGGAAAAAGGCGCCCGATTGAGACGGCATTGGAATGCCGCTTGGTGTTTGGGCCTGCGACCAGTTTCAATATATATATACACACACGGGGAATATGTTGAATGGATCTGGGATGATCCCAACACCCAAGTTCCGTCGTCGTGACCTCTTGCTTGGCAGATGTGAGTTTCAACAACGCTCCACCAGTGTGTTGTAAATTTGACGTGCAGCGTGTTCAAGATTTCCGGAATTTGCCAGAGCGAAAGCGTCTTTGATCTCTTCAGGAAGATGGACCAGCACCATACTGTCTTTTTTCCGAGACCCAAGCATCAAAAGTATGCTGCAGCGGGGCCGCCAGTGCTCGCCGAAAAGCCCACGGGTCATCTCCGCCACTTCCACGCCTAAAGCATGGGAGAATATCATGATTTACTCATATACCCTCTGGCAAACGTTTACAGTTTGCGAACTGGAAATCACCATTTTGAATGGGTAAAGCAACTATAAATCATCGTTTTCAATAGCTATGTTAAATTACCAGAGGGTAGTAATAAGATGTCCTACAAACATGTTTTGTCATGTGTCACTTATGCTGATCCATCCCATCATTGGAATCATGCCAATCATTTGGGTATGAATGAGTGTATGTGACTGTATGTGTATATACCCTCTGGCAATTTAACATAGCTATTTGAATGGGATTTTATAATAGTGATTTAATGGGATATTATTGGTATATACCCTCTGGTTATTTAACAGTTTGCTGAAGCCATGACCCATTTAGTTCGATGATGTAGCTATTAAAAGTGATGGATCTTTCCATGGCTCGTCCAACTTTTGACAATGTCATTGGGGATGGCTTACGCTGTTCGGGTTCTTCCACATCAACAATAACAACTATTATCCATTAATATCCAAATATTTGATGATTTGATGGTTAATAGTTGTTTTGATTACTATGGTTAACTATCAAACAATAATAAATAATGATTATGATAAAGTCAAGATTAACAATCAAATATGGACAGTAAATGGTAAAGACCTGCAATGCCATCACCAAAATATGATGATATCAACTATTAATATCAACTATTGATATTGTTGAACTGACCATCATAACAGCTATTAATATCAACTGTCAATATCCACTAGCATCCACATTTGATCAAGCATTAATATCCATTCCATTAATATCCGTTAGATCCCTAAATATTATTTCCATTCATCTCTGATCTGGGCAAAGTATGATACCAGGACCAAGCTGTTACCAGGTTGGCCAAGCATTGTTTCGATATTGACGAGGTCGCCCTGAGTCACTAGGCTAGATGTAGATTAGATATGGCTATTTCTTTCAAAACCCGACCCAAACGGTACCCTGGCTATAGCTGGCTTATGGATGTTCATTCCCCTTGATGGCCATAGGTTTTGACCCATATCAACATCTACAAGGTGGTGCCTCCTACTTAGCTAAGTTGGTTTATAAGCAACAGAACGTCTGGTTTGATGCTAGATATACCTACAACGTGTGCCCCCCCCAGGTATGTTTGTTGGTTTATAAAGCTCATGAATACTACAGTTATAGGTATCATAAACCATAGCGAAATGGGAGTTATGTTCACAAACTTAGCGATTTCGTAAACGGCCCCACATTGTAATTATAGTATTTGTGAGCTTTACCAACACACAGAAATGTGGAACAAACGCCACCTTTTAGAATCATGTGCCATGGTCAAAAACACAGTTAGGCTATGGTCATCTGTTCCATATATTGAAATCTGAAAAACATCGATAAAGATTTTCTTACAGATTGATGGCCCCTTTTTTATGGGCATATAAGCCATCTGTGCCAACATGGAACATTCGGATTTGTTATGTTTTGTTGTTCTTACGCATGATGGGGACCTTTCAACCGTCAAAAGCTGAATATCCCCACATATCCCCACGTTGTTCGGCCCAAAGCCACCAGCATTTGGGCCTGCTAAGCGCACCAGCGCAGCTTTCAAGACACTTTCCCATTCTCTGATGGTCAGAAACTTCAAGGGCAAATTGCTATCCTGGCTTCAAGGTGCGATGGTGTTGCCTCGTCCCTTTTTACTGGTTGGTTCATAGGATATCCCATACTGCCATACTGGATTGTGAGAATCTCCAAGAAATTTGATAGTATAACACCCTACGATTGGTCATCAACCAGCAGGTGTTTTGAACATTGAGCATGTTGTTAGCAATATTTGGTTCAACAAAGCCTATATTTCCTGGATGAAAATCAGAAGAATCAGGAGCTACATCACCAAACACCCACCTTCGGGATTGGTGTTTTTAACATGTCCATTTTTGTTATGACCATTAGGTTGTCCCCGCTCTCTTGAGTCATTAATTAATGTAAATGTCGTACATTGTGTATATATACATACCATACATTACATTACATTACATTGCATTGCATTGCATTACATTGCATTGCATTGCATTGCATTGCATTACATTACATTACATACATTACATACATACATACATACATACATACATACATACATACATACATACATACATACATACATACATACATACATACATACATATATATATATATATATATACGTATAATACATGTACATACAGTGTGTACATATATAATTATTGTATATATATACATATATGTGTGTGCAATATACTACAATTTCCTTGCAAACAAGAACAGGAACAAGTAGATTACACAAGGCGTGCTAAAGTTTACCCAGCCATTGCTAATCTCAGATACCCTTCAGACACTCAATGTTGAGCCAGATTGTATAATGCAAATGTGCATGTATGTATACTGTATAATTATATAGACACACACACACACACGCGATATATGTAGGATTATGTAGGTATGTTTTGAAATGGGGTACCAATACAAACAAATGGTTTGTCATGGTTTGTCATGGTTTGTCATCATTTTACATCTTAAAACTGGTGTTGTTGTTGTTGTTGTTGTTGTTGTTATCGTTGTTGTCGTTGTCGTTGTTGTTGTTGTTGTTTTTTCCCCGGCATGATATATTGCAGTTTTCGAACCGCACCAAACTATACGCTCATGTCATTTTACATCCCCCTGTTTGGAAACCAGACAGACATAACGGAACATTTCGGATAAATATCACACTGGAAACCTCCAGTTCCGCTTCAGTCTCTCCAGCTGCTCCGCGCTCTGAAGTTCCACGTGGTTCCAGCAGCTGGCGCCGGTCTTTTTGAACTCAGTGAAGGGCTGACTGCCCATGTTCCACCCTAGCAACGTGGCAGGTGCTGATTCAGGTGGTGGCAGTTCCACCTCAGCTGGCCATGCGTTCCTCTGCGACGTCGCGAATCATCGCAATTTTTTCAGGTTGAGAGGGGTACATGCCGTCTTGCAAGAGATGGATGGGGTGCCAGCTCCAATGGATTCTCATCAAAATAGCAAATTTGGGATATATCATGATATATCCAATGACTGGATAAACCATGATCAACCCACACCAAACGAAAGTGGCGGAGTCATTGATCAACCGGATTCCCATCAGGCCATCCCGTCCTGCGCAAGGACCGTGAGGTTCATACTCGTGGTGGCCCAACACAGGCGAGGACCTGAAAAACACGGAGCGAAAGGGCTGAGTTCACGCAGGGAAAGAAAAACTCATGGTGAATTTACATGGCGATTCCCCACCTGCCAGGTGACGGCTGTTAGATTTTATCAGAGCTGTTCTCCTCCTCCTCCTCCTCCTCGGCTAGCTGTCCTCCTCCTCCTCGTCTTTCTCCTCCTCCCCCTCTAGTTTCTCCTCGACCATGTCTGCATCTACTTCCACCTCCACTTCCGCCTAGCCAACTCTTCGCCAAGCTCTTTGCCAACTCTCTTCGCCAAGCTCTTTGCCAACTTCCCAGCTCAGTGTGCACTGGGACCTCAACCTGGGACCTGCCCAGCTCAGTGTGCACCGCTGGACCTCAAGCTCAGTGTGCACCGCTGGACCTCAACCAGGGACCGTCTCAGCTCAGTGTGCACAGCTGGACATCAACCTGGGACCTGCCCAGCCCAGTGTGCACCGCTGGACCTCAACCTGGGATTTGCCCAGCGCAGTGTGCACAGCTGGACCTCAACCGGGGACCTCCCCAGCTCAGTGTGCACTGCTGGACCTCAACGGGCAGATAGAATGCCAGAAGATATGCCAGATCGAATGTCAGATGGAATGCCAGAAGATATGCCAGACAAAATTCCATGAGATATGCCAAATAGAATGCCAGAAGATATGCCAGATAGAATGCCAGAAGATATACCAGATAGAATGCCAGAAGATATGCCAGATAGAATGCGAGAAGGTATGCCAAATAGAATGCCAGATAAAATATCAGATAGACTGCCACAAGATATGCCAGATAGAATCCCAGAAGATTTGCCAGATAATATGCCAGAAGATATGCCAGATAGAATGCCAGATAGAATGCCAGAAGATATGCCAGAAGATATGCCAGAACATGCCAGAAGATATGCCAGATAGAATGCCAGAAGACATGCCAGAAGATATACCAGAATATATACCAGAAGATATGCCAGATAGAATGCCGGATCGAATGCCAGAAGATATGCCAGATAGAATGCCAGAAGATTTGCCAGTAACAAATCGATAAATGTCATGGTGGGGATCACTCGAAGTAAAGTAATTTAAGAGAACAAATATTTTTGTTGGGAAAAATAGATCGATCAACTCGATTGAGCTGGAATTGGAATGAATTAGATACTTAAATCAGTTTGTTTCCCCATGGAACTTGTATGGATTTTTGG